AGAAGATATCACAGCGTCCATACCTTTCCCTGCTGGCTGTCTGCCCTGACCCAGTCTTTAGCTGGCGACTCTCAACTCATATTTTATCCATGATTTTAATGGGTTTGGTTACTTTTAGCTGCTGTCAGATCAGAAGAGCTGCTACAGAGGGACATGCCCATTCAGAACCACTGGTTGCTGGTCCTTGTGAAAAGTGATGTGTTGAGATGGGAGGAAGGAAAACTAGGCGGCATGAATGCAAGACTTGAGAGCAGCGCTCGCTACGCCGCTGTGTTTGGGGAGAGCGTGCTCCGTGTGTCTTAAAGGAGAGGTGGAGCATCGTGGGATTCCAGAATGGTGACCTGGGCTTAGTAAGGTTTTACATTTTATATATTCTGCTTTGGAAGGCAGACTGATAGTGGTATCGCTACCCATGGTTTGGATGACTTGGCTTTTCAAGAAGGACTTGCTTGGTGAGGCTTCCTGTGGCTACTCCCTTCCAGGCTTCATGACTCCAGTGTATGCCAATATCTAGTATTATGACTGGCATTTGATGAGCAATTGGTAAATATTTGTTGAATGAATGGATTCCCCACAGAGGGGGAGACTTCATTGACAGCGAGGTGCCAAGGAGTGGCTTCTAGTCTCGTCGCATTAATGGATTTCCTATTGTAACCACTCAACAGCACTTCACATGACAGCCACAAACTTGTGTTTCGGTAAGTGGTCCTGGAAGTGCAGCCCGCTTCCCTAGGCGCTTGTGCCTGGAATGCTCATTTTGAAAAAATTTCCGTGAGTGTGATCTCCTTTGTAGGCCTGCCACCTTGAAATATCAGTCAGGGGTCTGTGGATGGCCCACCCCGAAGGCCTGATTATTGGCCCCAGACCCCGCATACACCCCCTACCCATCATCCATTCATCCTTCCCTCCGTCCTTCCCTCCATGCAGCAGACAGACACTTACGGAGCACCTGCCAGGCGCCACCAGACACTGTGCTTTGGGGATTGGGGGAGGGGGAGGTGGTGCTCAGATGACCACAGCAGGTCCTGCCCTCCCAAGGGATCAGTCCAAAGTCAGTGACACAGGAGCACGGGCCACTGCGGTTCAGTGTGCTAAGTGTGTATGTGATAAAGGCATGTGCCCTGCTTCTGGGAACACAGAGCAGGGGCGGGGCGCTGCTGAAGGAGGGAATGTTCGGGCAAAGACCGAGATGACAGCGTGTGGGCTGCTCGGGGCTGTCCCCGTGGGATGCCCTGACCACGGAGCAGGTGAGTTCTGTTATCTGGAGCCGCCTCAGTTTTGAGAGGGAGTGGCCATGCTGCGGGCTGGGAGAAGTGAGAGAGGGGGGGTTCGCGTCCTGCGGCCTGGACCCTCCCGTCTTCACCCCACCCATCCCCCGCTGAGACCTCTGCTTTGAGAGTCTCTCTAGTTCAGCCCTTAAAATTTTACCAGATTCTTTTTAGAGCTGGAAAAAGGCCTTGGGGAATTCTCTCTTCCATCAGAAGAGACCAAAGGGCATCCTTGGTGAAGGGAGCTGGGGGGGTTGGGGGGAGTGTTTATAAGTGAGTACAAATGGCTTTCCCTCTCCACGAGGCCCTCTGTCTGCCACCTCGAAGTCCAGCTGAGGGTCTGCGGGGAGAGGAGCCGGTCTGGCTGGGCAGAAAGCACTTGCCGCCCCTAGGAAGGCTCTTTTCCCAGCCTCCACCGTGAACTCTTTCTAAATTAAGAGCTATTTTAGAAAGACATCAGAAAAGTAAGGCTTGGAATGACTTAGAAACTTAGGCTAACCCCCTCATCCGCTGTGTGTGGAACTGTGTTTTTTCAGTTCATAGTTTGTGTGTGTTAAAATTACATACCTGGACGGTGAGCCCTGAACCAAAATAGACCCCGGTGGGGCCGGCTGGATTTGGGGCCAGTTGTGTTGGTGAGGCCCTGAATATGCAGGATGCCATGTCTCCTCTGCAGCAGTAAGAGAAGCCCAGGACAGCCACCTGGATTTGGGGGAATTATGAATGGTTTCAGGTCAAAGTTAGTGGTGCATCTGGCGCTAGAGCTCCCTCCCAGCTCAGTTCTTTCTGCTATGTCCTGCTGCTCAAGCTGTACGCCAACTAGTTTTGTCCCAGGGAAACCTGCTAATGAATCATTGGCATTGGGCTAGTAAGTGTTGCAGAGGGCCAGTAGCACTGGATTTTAAGAGGAAAAAACAGAAGATGGATTGTTATAAGCAAGGTGGAAGAGTTCCAGAATGGCGATTTTATTTTTATTTTTTAGAAATTGCATTTGCTGTCTAACAACTGCCACAACGCCAGTGTGAAGAGCTGGGAAGAAAACCATCCATAGTGATTCTCTCCGTTCAAACACCGCTGTTTTAGTTTTTGCAGATTTCCTGTTTTTATCAAGCAGTCCACGAACAACGCGCGCATATTCTTATGTAGCTGGAACCAATCACAGCTGCTTATTCCTTTCTAGTCTCCCGAGCTCATGTTGTCATAAGAATATCCCTTGTTTCTATCTGATCTTCATAATTTTTTTTAGAACAGCTGAACAGTGGTCTAGGTTTGGTGGCCCTGGTTCTGTGTCCTTATGATTGAAGTCCAGCTGTTTCTGCTTTTTGTCCCCCCTCCCCCCAGTCTTATTTCTCCAAGAATAAGACTTATTTCTTCCATCTTCGCACATGAAGCCGCCTGCTTCTGCCAGGTCGTCACCTTCAGAGGAGTGTCTCCAGGAAGGAAAGCCTCAAGGAAAGAGGCTGATATCCAGTGACTTTGTTTTGATTTTTGTTTCTGCTTTTTTTTGTTGTTGTTGTTTTATGTAACACAATCACAGATGTACAAATTAAAACAGAGGTGCAGCTTAATGAATTACTAGAAGGCAGACGGCCAGGTGCCACCCCACCCAGGTCAAAGGCTGGAACCCTGCCTGACAGCCAGAAGTTCGCTCTGTGCCTGTCTCAGTCACGTCCCCTCCCTGCGTCCCCTCCCAGGCACGTCTCCTCCTGGCCCCAGGAGCAACAACTACCCTGACATTATTGTACTTACTTCTTTACTCACTTTCCAGGGTTTATCACCCAAGTGTGCACCCGTGAACATTGCAGTTTAAATATCTTTTAATCTCTAGGTGTCTTCTTCATCTCTTCGTTTTTGCATATTCTGTTTGTTGGAGAAACTGGACCGTGTGTCCTGAGGAGGCTCTGGAATTTCCCATGGGCTGGGTATTGCTGATTGCACTTCCAGGTAGTTTAGACAGTTGCTCTGCATTTCCTGCCACTAGCAGTTGGATCTAGTGCTTGAGTCAGTACCAGGCTTGATTCCTGTCCCCTACCCCCGCCCCCGTGGAAAGAGAGGCAAGGGGAGCAAGACTCTATGGTGGGCAGTGGGGTGTTCTTCACCAGAAGTCAGGTAATGGCTGGTCGTCTCCCTTTGGGATGCTAGTAGGCACTGGTGCCCAATGTTTAGAGCCTACCGTTCGGTAGAAGTTGCAGATTTGTGACATTGCAACTCTTTTGTTTCATCTTCATTTATTGAGAATAAATGAAAAACTCTGCCCATGTTCAATGGCTTTATTGAGATTCATGTATGATACGATTTGCCTATCTGAAGTGTACAATCCAGTCGCTTTTAGTATATTCTTAGAGTTGTCCATCTATTAACACGATCAACCTTAGAACATTTCATTAAGTGCCCCCCACCGAAAAACTTTACTCACCCTAGGGGTCGCCCCACAATCCCTGCAGTTTTGAGCAACCACAGCCTAATTCCTGTCTCTAGATTGACCTATTCTGGACATTTCACGTACTGTGTGGTCCTTCGCAACAGATTTCTTTCATTTAGTTTCCAAGGGCCACTCATGTTGTAGCTTCTGTCAGAACTTCATTCCTTTTTATGGCAAAATACTATTCTGTTTTATGGCTAAGACCGGCCAGTTTATTTATCCATTCATCAATTAATAGACATTTGAGTTGCTTCCACTTTGGGGCTATTATGAATAATGCTGCTTTGAGGGTTTTTGTACGTTTCTGGGTGAACATGATGCTTCCATGTTTTTTGAATATATACCTAGGATTGGAATTGCTGACTCAAATGGTAACTGTGCTTCACCGCCTGAGGACCTGCTACACTGCTTCCCAAAGTGGCTGCACAGTTTTCCTTTCCCATCAGCAGTATGCGAGGCTTCCAGTTTCTCCATCATTTGTCATCTGCCTTTTTTATGACAGCCGTCCTAGTGAGTGCGGCGTCTGCTTACGGTTTTGATTTGGATTTCTCTAATGACGAATGATGTTGAGCACCTTTTCGTGTGCTTATCAGGCTTATGGAAAACTGTCTATATCTTTTGCTCATTCTTAAGTTGAATATTGCCTTTTTATTATTAAGCTGTAATAGTTTTTTATTCTAGATAGACGCCCATTATCAGATGCGCGATTTACAAAGTCTTTCTCCCATTCTGGGTTGTCCTTGTACTTCCCTGATGTCTTGGTGTCCTTTGAAGCGCAGAAGTTTTACATTTTGATAATGTCCAGTTTATTTTTTTCTTTCGTTGCTTGTGCTTTTGGAGACATAGCTAAGAAACCATTGCCGGATCCAAGGTCAGGAAGATTAGTGCCTTGGTTTTATCTGGAAAGTTTCATACTTCCAGCTCTTACATTTAGGTCTTTTTGATCCATTTTGAGTTGATTCTTATATATGCTCTCATCTACTCTTTGATTACCAGTGCTAGAGTTAAGACCGAGTTAATGCTTGGTTTTTCCCCCTTTGTTTCCCCATTTTCATGGTAAAGTGTTGACTCCCTAACATCCTATGAACTTGTTGTTTGGTGGTGTTTTTTTTTTTTCTTTTTCATCATTGGGAATGTTTAGCTTTCATCATGAGCTTGTATTATATTAAAACCAATTAAAAATTTAAGATTTTGCATAGTGTGACGGTGTACGTGTATGCGATATGCAGAGAAAAGCTATTCTTAAAAATCTTTTTGTTTCTTATCTAGCTATCACATTCTAAATTTTCTTCCATCCAATTGCCTTTCAGAAACATGCCAAAGGCCAGGATTTGTTTGATCAGATCGTGTACCACTTGGACCTCGTGGAAACAGATTACTTTGGCCTCCAGTTCCTTGACTCCGCCCAGGTCGCGGTATGTATTCCTTTGATTCATTTCAGGACAGATTAGCTTTTCATTGCTAATGACAGATCCACAGTTGCTAGACTCATAGAGGAACAGAGGCATGAAACTGATACTGTTGCCATGACAAACATTGGGATGGTGGCGACGGTGCCCTGTGAAATGCATCCAGGCTGCCCCGCCCTTGAGGTGGCCAACAACCAGGAGCGGAAGAGAGAAAGAGCGTTTCTGTCGCTCATGGGGCTGCATTAGGGAAGCATTCCCAAGCACAGGGAGGCAATATGGGCACATTTGTAGAGTAGGTAGAAATCATCACAGAAATTCTTTCGGCGGAGCTGCTTTTATTTTTAACCGGCAGAAGAGGCTGTACCACCATGCTCTCGTGCAGACTTGCGGGGTGTGGAGAGCCGGTGCTGTGAACGCGGCTGAATCGCAGCCAGGCTTGGGGCTGGGCAGTCGGAGCAGGGCTTGGCTTTGCTGGAGAACCATCTTGCAGGCTCCAGGAGGCTGCGTGAGGTCAGCAAAGACTTCCCTTGCTTTGCCTGAGACAGGAGTGTTCACCGTGGAGATGCTGGAGTGAGTGAACTGGATGCAGCTCAGAATCTCTTTATTTAGAAAGCAGGATGGACTTCAGGGTCTCCTTCCCCAGCAAAATGTAGCTTTGGGTTTCAAAGGTGATTTAGTCAACAGTCTCAAAAACATTTAGTGGGTGCCTCACACGCATGGGCCCCCTTCTCAGGATTGTGGATAAAGCGGTGAACACACATGCAATATGACAGGTAGTAAGAAGTGTTAAGAAATATAAAGCGGAGTAAGGAGATAAGCAGACAGAGGAAGGGGGGTGCTCTTTTAGACGGTGTGAAGAGGTGGGTCCCCTGATGGGAGATGTTTAAGCTAGAGGCCAGCAGCTCCTCATCCGTGGTGAAGCCTTTTTACCTGAAAGACAGTTTTTCGATACTTCCCAGGAGCCCCATGGGACAGCTGTAAAGTGAAGATGCTCAGAGTTGATACCTGGGAGCTGGGTCTGCCTGAGAATGTTAGTGTGAGGCTGAGACCGCAGATGATAAAGTGCGTCCTGGTTACAGTGCCTCCTGTGCACGCCCTCCCCCTGCCCCCACCGGATGTCCCCTCTGCACGTTTGCGACGCCCTGTCTGCCAGCGGCCCATCCCCTCACCCCCGACTGTTGCAGTGAACCCTCCAGCCAGCTCTTTGAACTAACGGTCCTGATTCTTTCTCCGTTCCCCAGCCGCAGACTCTCACTCTGCGCCCCCCAACCCCAGGCCTCCCAGGGGGAGGGGCAGGTCCACCCTTCTCGTCCGCCTGCCTGTCCAACTCTGTTTGCTCTGAGGCTGGGTCACCCATGCCCTGCCCTCTGACCTCAGCACTGCCTTCCCCATCCCTCAAGGCCTCTGACAACCTCAGAATTCAAATTGTTGATGCTTCGTAATATTCTGGACACTGTTTTGTCTCCTCGAAGCTTCATCTGAGCAAACCTCACCCAGATTCACGCTGGGTCTTGTCACCGCCCAGTCACTGCAAGACCCGGAATTCTGTCATCCCTTGTTCCATGAGAGCTTCCCTTGATTCCATCTTTCTAGCCCTGCTGCATTTGGCCTTGGCCCTTGACGATTGCTCCCTGCCTTATTCTCCCCTCTCCCAGCCTGCTTCTCCCCTTGCCTTCCTCTCAGCCTGGCGGAGTCTCAGCCATCTCACCTGTGTCCTTACTTGCCCTGTGATTCTCCTGTCCCCGTGACTGTCCCTGGGCGTCCCCTTGACACTGAGGCCCATCTGTTTCCTCTGCTGCTTCTCTGGGGCTGCCAAGCGTTGCTGGAGAGTCACGGACTGCGCCTGTTGGCACCGGCACAGATCACAGGTTCGGCAAAGTCCAATCCCCCAAATTGCTTTTGGAGCCTTCTTAGCTCCTAGTCATCTCTCTCGCTCTCTCTCTCTCTCTCTCTCTTTCTCTCTCTCTCTTAATCCTTACTGAAGGATGTATTTATTGATTTGAAAGAGAGAAAGAGAGAGAGATATCAAAGTGAGAAAAACATCGATAGGTTGCCTCCCGCACGCGCCCTGACTGGGAATCAAACCCGCAACTTTTGGTGTACAGACAGTGCTCCAACCAACTGAGCCACCCGGCCAGGGCACCTAGTGAACTCTTACTAGTGGACTCTTACGTGCCCCACAGTTCCCCTATGAGTCTTGACCACCGATGTGGAATCCAGTCCCCACAAAGACTGTCCTCAAGTTGGCCTTACCTCCTGCTGAGAAGACCGAGATCATCTGGCTAAAACTCTTGTTTTCTTTCCCTAAAGACAAAACAGCCCTTCTCGCCGTTTTGTCTTCAGGGAGTCCACCTGTTTCTCTCGCATCTGCTCCTCACAGCTCTGTGGACAGTCCCGTTTCCAGCTGCTTCCTGAGTGCCAGATCTGGAGTTCTCCTTTCTGTCCCCAGCATCTGGCCCTCGTCAGCTCTCCCCGTCCATGACTCTCTTCTCCATTCTGCCTTCTCCTGTGTGTCTTAACCTGTGTCATACCTGTGGTAGTTTTGACTGCAGCGTCTCTGTGGCCCTGGACTGGGAGTCCAATCTGGACCCTGTTCCTGGCTCTGCCCCTACCTCAGTTGGTGGGCCTTAGATAAGCCACTTTTTTTCCCTCGGTCTCAGTTTCCTCATCTGTAAAATGGGGTTCTGGGACCTAGTCTCCCAAGAGCTCTTCTGGTTCTAACATTCAGTGATGCTGAATCTAAAGAGGAGACACACATGTCTGCCTGTATATCCTTTCTAATGAGAAGGGAGACAATCTCTGTCATTTCTGCCATTAGAGCCAAGTGCCTGTTGCCTTGGTGGCATGTCCTTATGTCCAGATGACCCTTCTCCAACCACTCGGATTTCCAGAAAGCCAAGGGTGTGACTGCATTGAAAGATTTTACTGTGAACCTCTGCTCACTTGGCTGCCAGCTGTCCCATCCGCCGGTGCCCTGTTACCGTGCGGCAGGACGTATGTTCACGGCAGGATCCAGGCTCCCTTCCCGGGCCAAACACCTGCAGATGCTAGCGCTCTGCAGGCTCTAACGCCTTTCCAGGATCCACCTCTGTGAACGGATGTGCTTTTCTTCCCTGCAGAAGCAGGCGCAGGGTCTTCATCTGCCTGACTTGGGACCCAGGAGAGTGGCAGCCACACAGCCCCAGGCCCCTTCTGCTGCACAGTGTGATTTCTGAGCTGGGTTCAGGCCATGCCAGCACCTACCTCTGTGCCTTTGCCAGTGCTGACCCCCCTCCTGGAATGCCTCTTCTCACCCCGATTCAACTCAGCCTCCCTTCTAGGCCATGTCAGGTGACACTCCGTCACGGAGTACGTCCTGAGCTCTCAAAGTGCTCTCCGGCTCTGAGTAAACCTCTGAGCTTAAGTTGCTTTCTGTGACAGCTTCCCCGTTTGGCCTTGGGCTCATTATTTGTGTATTTAAACAAAACCTTTCTGATTAGGCCCTAAGACTTAGGACGTCTTCTTTTTAACTTGGTCGCTCTTGGTGACAAGGCACACACACCTGAGAACCTGAGAGTTAGTCCCAGAAGGGAACTTAGGAGCCATCTGTCAAGTATTTCCATCGAAGTGAACCCAAAGCCTTAGACCGTGGCAAGTCAGTGAGCAGCCCAGCCTGACTCATGCCCAGTTTTTACAGTTTCAGATTTAAGTGCTTTTTTCAGTTCACTGTGCTCTCAAGCCTCAGTCTCCGTCACTGTACAGTAGAGGCAGTGACATCTGTTTCTCAGGGAAGTTCAGCGGCTTAGCGAGTTAAGGGAGCAGAATGTGTTTTGTAGTCTGACATGGGCGTGGGTCTCCTCTTCCGAGCTGGACATTCTGAAGGGACCAGGAGTTACCACAGCCCCCAGGGATGACACGCTGAGGTTAGCCAAACCTGCAAGGCTGTCTTGCCTGTGGGAGAAGCTGAAGCAATTCAGACAAGAGCCCTTCGGCTTCTGGGGTGTCACCGATTTTCCTGAGGACCTGGGACAATGCGGTTGGTGGCCGGTGACTGGGTGTGGTGGCAGGTGTGTTTCTGGGGAGATTGAGTAATAGACGGGGGCCTGGAGGGAACCAGTGGTTTGCTTGTCTCTTGGCTTTTTACTCAATCATGGAGGCTCCTGCAAGGCCTGACCCCCCACCCCCAGCCCCCCAGCCCCTGACTTGCCAGTCAGAGCCCGGCCCAGGCAGGGCTCTTGGCACAGCTCTCCTCATAAGGAACCGGCCTCCGTCCCAGCTCCCTGCGAAGAGCCAAGCCTGGTTTCCATAGAGCCCTGCCCAGCCCTGAAGCAAGGTCAGAGTCTGTTGGCATCTCCTATTTTTAGCAGTTGGGACTGGGGCCTCCTGTTTCCTTTTCCACGTCAGAGTGGGAAGGCCCCCTGGGAACCCTCTCTGCGGCTCTCCCTTTTGCACAGCTCCCAGCAGGGCAAGGATTTTAATTGTACACAGCAAAGCCGGGGTCTGGCCTGCTCCCTGCCCCCCAGCTTTCTCACAGCCTGGCCCGATGCCTGCTGTTTACTGACTTCTCCCTCCTCCCCCTCCCCCTGCCCCGCTTAGGCATCTAACCTAAGGCTTTAGGTAACTCAGGTCTAACATTCATCGCTGACCTGTGAAGCTGACCAGGGGACAGGCCCATTTTACAAATGATGAAGCTGAGGCTCAGAGACATTAGGAACCTTGTAAAAGTGAAGGGACAGAGGTGGCATCCAGAACCTGGCCTTATTCCAAAGCCCAGCCCTTTCCACTGTGGCCTCTCCTGGTTCCATTACGCACGGTAACGTCACACACATACACAAACACACACACCTGGGAGGGAACATTCGGTAAGTAGCCGGTCAGCAAACTTTGACTTGGCGCTTAGTCAGTGCCGGGCTCTGTGGTGCAGAAGCAAGTCAGACACTGCCCCGGCCGCCACGTTCGGGCGAGACACCCAGACCGTGGATCCTTGGAAGAGAGCGGGTTCGGCCCTCCACTTCGGGAGCCTGGAGGGACAATGCCTAAGTGTCATGGGTCAGATGGCCAAGGTGCCCCAGAGGGACGGTGGACATGGGGCGGGCCCCAGAGGATGGGGGAGTGCCAGGCAGAGGAGCAGCAGGGATCTGGGGCAGGGATAACAACCCCTTCTCTCAAGCAGGAGTCTCTCCCGGGCCCCGGGGCGGGTCTACTAGAGGGCAGGTGTCAGCCCCTGCCAGCATGGAAAGGGAACATTTTTATGGCACATGTTTTACAGCAAGGAATGAAGAAAGGACGATCTTGGCCTTTCTCTCAAGCCCTGGGAGGTGTTTTTCCCCTGGTCTTTGTAGTGCGGGATGGGGTAGATGGGTGATAAGAGCCCCTGGGCTGGGAGATAAGGGTGACACGGACCCGTCCCTGCTGGAAGGGCTGAGTGGCCGCCTCAGGGACTGCTGCAGCGTCACTCCGATGGTTGTCTGGAGGGTCATTGCATTTGCTGCTTGTGTGGACACTACTGAGCGGTCCTGCCATTTCAGAGGTACCTGAAGGGGAAGTGGGAGAGTGGAAACACTAATAGCAGGACGCGTTGCTGTAAGAGAAACGTTTAACAGCCCTTCCTTCCATTCGGACGGTTCATTATTGTTTCCATGGACACTCAGCTGATTCTTCAGTGTGCCAGGGGCTAGCTCAGTGCACAGATGAGGACACTGAGGCTGGGAGGAGGAGGGGTCCTTGCTCATAGTCACACACCCAGTGAGTGGCAGAGCTGGGACCTGAAATCTGTCTTCTGCCTCCTTCCATTTTAGTACCAATAAATGGGAAACAGCTTAGGAAATGTCACGGGCCTCCCAGCAGCCTGTTTCTGAAGGCCGGGAGGGCGAGTCTTTTCCTGCCCGTGTGCAAATATTGATACTGAATGGGAAGCTGTTGATAAAAAGGGTCGCTGCAGTTGATTTAGACCTGCCCCCAAGGAAACCTCAAGTAGTGGGTATGAATGGTGAGGAGGAGAGATGCCTCTCCTCGGCAGAGAAGGCCCTCTAGCCAACATGTGCTGGGGAGGCCCAGAGTGCTGGCCGCGGACACAACCGGAGGTAGACACCCGCTGCCGCCGCCGCCGCCGCTGCCTCCTCCTCCTCCTCCTCCTCCTCCTCCTCCTCATTAGGGCTGTGATGCTGGGCACCTCATGCACCCCCCGTCCTTCCCCCCACCCCACCCCATGGCCACCTTCATCTCCTCTGAAACCTAAGAGAACAAGGGATGTGATATGGTCCAACGTGTGTTTTTTCTGTCCACATCAAACAATTCTGATGCTATGCCTGGAGATAATAGCTTCAGATCCCACAGGTCAAGAGCTCGGTCTCAAAAGGCACCCCCCCACCCCCACCCCAAGCCCATATACATTTCAGGTGCCGATCGCAAGATCTTAGGCAATGACATTCTGCAGCCAGCCTCCTGCGTGTCATAGTTCCAGAACTGTTGTGCTATGAGAACAGGTGGGTTTTTATGGGAAGGGTTTTGCCAGGTGGACTTGGATGAGAAATTCAGATCAGAAACCCCCATTCCGACACCCATGAGAGTGTTTGAAGTACACGTCTTGCCCTTTGAACTCAGAAGTGCACCTGTCAGTTTCTAGAGATTGCTTTAATGGTCAGTTAAGAGGGCTGGAGCTTCGCTTTGGCCTTTGCTGACGGGCGGCCCGGCTCTGTTTAGGCAGGAGGCAGGTGAACATCTGAGACAAGTCCTGCTGCTACAGGCCTACAAACCAAACCCAGGATACGCTCTGCTAAACACATTGGGCCTTCATGCCTAGCTGTTCATCACAAGGTGGCTTTGTGGGATAAAATATGAGTGATCCGAGTCTGGTCAGCTGCTGCAGCTAAGAAGAAAGTCAAGCCATTTTGAACTGGCTGGATATAACATAGGTTTTATCGTGTCTCATTTTAGGATGGTGACTGGGTTTCTTATCGCCCCTGATGCAGGCAGGCAAACCTGATCTGAACGCCATGGGGTCAAGGAGCTTTTAAAATGGAGTTGTTTCTGATTTCTTTCCCAGCTTAGCAAGTCTCAGACTTTCCACAGGCCTCCATCCCGGCAGGTCCTGCTCTGGGCAGGGCTCCAGGCTGTTGCTGGGCAGGAAGGAGGGGAGCTCCTTAGCAGTGTGGCCAGAGGGAAAGCAGCCTGCTGTCCGGTAGAAAGAAGCATCTATCTATATGTTAACACTGGCGGTAGACATCGGGCTGGTAAACTGTGAAATCGAGATTTTACAGAGCTCAAAGAGAAATTTTCAGAAGGGGTTGTGGATGTTTCCAGATCCCCAAGATCACTAGGACACATTCCAGGGCAGAAGACGATGTGGGAAAACTTCAGCACTGAGTATTTTTAATGGGCACACTGGGCATCTTTAAAAAGCATTCATGCTCTGAGATTCTGTTTACTGGGTATTGGGTGGGACCTGGGTCTATTCATGAGTGTAATGTTCAGCCAGGGTTGAAAATCACAGCTAAGGTTGGGCTTGGATCAAGATTGGAGTTTGATAGTAGAGGGAGAGGAATGGTGGGCTTTAAACATGTTCTGTCCAAAATACGACAAGGAGACTTGAGACAGGAGGAAATGGAACACGCTCTTTAAGCTGCAAGACCCTGGGTCTAATAAGCTTAGAAGGCTGGTTGCAGGGAGAACATTCTTTGCCAGATAATGGGGAATTCTTTTGAAAGTGGGAAGAACAGGTTTAGTCATAGCCATTAGCATGATCCTTACTTTGGCAGGAAAGTAAATACTGTAATACTCTCATCAAGTCTTTATCTGCCCTCCTCCCAGGAGCCGAGGTCCAGGGTTCTTGACCTGCTTGAGGGGCAACTGTGAGACCAAATTCTAATGAGTCACATTGATCATCAAAAACTGCCCGATAGGCAAACAACAAATGAAAGAACAATGGAAGTGCCAACCCAGCCCACCCCCGTGAAAATAATATTCTCAGTAAAAGTAAAAAAAAAAAAACCATGCTTCAAAGTGAAAAAGATAAGAGTAAACAATATTCACAGCCCTATATCCAAAATAGCACCATGAAATCTTTCTGGACATATCTGGATAGGAAATATTAATTTTATATCAATGGGATTCTACCTGATTGTTTGCATCTGACATTGCGCTGTGTGCATCTCCTGCCACGTCAATAAATGTAGGCCCCCATCAGTTTTAAAGGCTGAATAGTATTTCATTACACAGATGAGCCAGTTTTTGAAATCTGTCTTTGTTGATGGGCGTTTAGGTCATTTCCAATTCAAAGCTATTAACAGTGAGAGAAAGCATCCTGTACATGCGCCTTTGAGATATGCATCTGGCTTCAGGGATCTGCTTCTTTTATGACACAGTGGTTGCTGCTCCCGGGAGTGGAGATGACAGAAGCCCACGTTCTCCCATTGTACCGCTTACAGCTTATTGTGTTATAATTCATCTGCTGTTTGCTTTTCTGTTTCCTTATCCCGCTCCTCCCACACAGTCACAATGGGCTTTTGGTGAGGGATAGAGTAGACTGTACTACTTTAGTCCTGTCCTCCTTCATTGTTAGAATGTGCCAAGTTGAGGTTGCCACGGGAGGTATATTGACAGGCACCAGAATGGCCTCTGATCCTGAACAGCTAGTGAGAAACCCCGTCTGGCTGCCATTCCAGCTGTTACTCGAACAGCAGTGCTTCATTGCATATCCAGTTTCTGGACAGTGATGGGGAAAGTTTGCCGCGCTCTGTGCTTGGCACAGGAAGCACAGAAATGATGGTGTGAACTGATGGCTCTGCCCGCCAGGGCTTACATGAGCTCAGAGGGGCTCGCAGTGCTATGTTCCTCAACGTCCTTTTCCATGGAAGTTAAGCTTTTGAGGCTAGTCAGGACTGTGGCACAAACAACTTTGACATTCTAGGGAGATGGTTTTGTCATTTCCTTGGGTGGGTCAGGCTGAAGTGGTTGTTCTGTTAAAAACTAGAGGAAGTTGAATCGCCTTAATTGGCCAGAGCCAACATTTCTCAGGCAAGTCCCTAGGTGTCTTTCCATCTTTGAATATGGGTCCTTTTCCCTGTGAAGGAATAAAGGGGTCATGAATGTTGGTTTTATAACTTTAGAGTTTAGGGCGACAGATCTACAAGACCACTATGTGATCAGAGATTCTTAGAAGTGCAGTTTGTAGTCTTTACTAGATTAATGGAGACTTAAACTAATTGGGGAAGATGGATTGTAACTTGAGGAACTCAGAAGGAAGAGGCAGTTGGCTCCACCGACTTCATTGATTAATAAGTTAAAGGGTTTTAAGTTCTTTTAGGCTCCTCTTTGAAAAGCCTGTGGAAGCTATGGGCCCTTTCTCCAAGAAAAAAAATGCACTGTGTGCACAATCACAGATTTTCTTAATACCATCCCAAGACGTTTGCAGATCCCCAGCCTAAGAACCCTTGATCCAGTGCAGTCTCTGGTTTGTACGGGTGAAATTACTACGGTTTGTAGAGGGGGCTAACTCTGAGGTCTGTATACGCTTGCTGATGCACTCTATTCCTAAAGCAACATTTTTTTTTTTTTCTTTCAGCACTGGCTGGATCATTCCAAACCCATAAAAAAGCAGATGAAAAGTAAGTAAGCAGAATTTAGCCAACTCCTTTATTTCTTTTATCGGAAAGTAAACTCCTTTGCCAGTGTTTTGAGGCGTTCTGTTTTCATTAGAACTTGGGAGCATTATTAAAATAGATTCAATTTTAAGTGGCTGATTTTTAATGTCTTAAGGCTGGCCAAGTGTTCGAGTTTATAATTCAAACAAGAGTCTTTAGTAGATATTAAAGCACAGACTATGCTCTCATTTGCAATCAGACACCCCTGCCAATGAGAACTAATTAATCTGCTGTTCAGAAACAGGACTTTACACTCATGATAGTCCTTTGCAATGAGCAGTAAAGTAGGTTCAGGGAATGGGGGAGCAGAAGAGACCTGTGCAGCAGGCCCAGCTCTGGGGTTCCAGGTACGGTACCATGTTCCTTCGGTGTTATTTTTGCATGTTTGGGTAATTTTTTAAAAAATTTAATACTTGCAGGTATTTTTACTGTATGTTTAGATTACAGAACTCTTGGCTGTTTAGGTGTCACTTTCCTTTAGCTCTCTTAGAATTTTGTAAGAAGTTGGCATCTGTTTGGAGCATCAGGGCAATGTGGGGTGAATGTAAAACGTCGGCTCTTAGTAATTCCTCTAGAATCAGGGGTGTCCAAACTTTTGGCATCTCTGCGCCACACGGGAAGAAGAGTTGTCTTGGGCCACCCATTAAATGCATTGCAACAAGTAATCAACAAAAAGATCTCATAATGCTATAAGTAAATGTATGATTTTGTGTCGGGCCACATTCATAGCCAGCCTGGGCTGCATGGGCTGCAGGGTGGACACCCCTGATTCTAGATGAAGCCAGTTTTCCTCCAGAATGAGGTGCCTCACAAAGCTGTCTTTGCTGACATAATTCCTTTAAGTTTTCCAAACAAGTATTGAAAAGAGCTTGCTAGCATTGCACGCACTGCTGTGCCCTCCCTGTGTAGTAGTGAATGTGTTAATAGACTTAATGTGTTTTTCCTTTTGTCCATCCTGTGATCTTCAAAATTGGGGAAAAACCTCTTCAACCCTCCATCTCCAAATGTTTAGTTGGACCTGCTTATGCTTTGCACTTTCGAGTTAAATATTATTCTTCAGAACCGAACAACCTTCGTGAAGAGTTTACAAGGTAGGACAAAATGCAGAACGGGATCTCCCCGCCCCCCGTAGCGCCTGCCTCACTTATGATTTATGGGTGTTCTAAACTGTGCATTTGCTTCCCCCCCCCCACTGCTGCCTTTATATTCTGAGCAAAAGTTATTAGCACTTTGCCTGTGCTCATCTCTGTATCCTGTTGAAAAAGCCACACTTTGCTTTACTTGCCCCTTTTCTTAGTGAATCAAATGAAAAGACTTTTTTCCTCATCACATTTCTGTTTGGTTGGACGTTGGGTAATTTGGTTAGTACTTTGGCCCTTTATTTTTGTGTCAGATAAGAAAAGGGGAAGGCTGGTGTTGGAAGATCATCTCTCAGTCCAAAATCACCATCTTATTTTTTTTTTTAAGGGACTGCAAAAATCTTCCCTTGATTGTCACAGTATCAACGTTGTTAGACTCTCTTTATGTTATCTTTCTAGCCCCCCTGAATTTCTTTTATGGTGTGCCTGCTTCTCGCAGATCAGAAAGGGCATTGAAGCAAAAGAGACCTCAGACACATGTTAAGTGTGGGGTTTTCTTCCCACCACCCATTTATCAGGGAGATTCTCTCCCCAGTCCTGCCTGATATCCCCAGAGCCTCCTTGTCATTGTCTGTGTGATGGACAGCAGAGGTGCCATAAAAGCTGCTGGGCAGCCCACCGTAATGACCACTAGCTTGGAGATGACCGCCAACTCTCACTGAACGATGGCTCCTCTCCCACCACCGAGAGGCTCATGGAGCTCCTGTAGTTAGGTTTTTCTATAGGAACTAGAGGTTCTGGCCAAGTCACACTGTGTCCTCCTTGATGGGAGCACTCAGTTCAATGGTGGTTAAACACCTGTCGCATGCAGGAACATTCTGGAATACACCGGAACCTTCAGGCCCCCTGTTGATTTCTGGGTCACCCACATTGTCCTATATCCATTCCACAGAGAGTGACTACCTGCATTGTTTTCAAAGTTCAAAGAAATTAAATTATTCCAGTGTTTTGTTCCAGAGTCCTTCTGGCTGTCATCAAAGGCAGTGATTCTTTACCAGGGTTGTGTGAATCAGAAACACCTGGGAAGCTTTTGAACAAATCAGATTCCTGGGGACCACGCTTGTATGTGAGATTCTGGTTCCCTAGGTGTGGCGTGGGGAGTGTGGGCAGCTTCTTATTCTTTACACGCACTCTGAAGTGGTTCTGCTGCCCACATCCACCTGGTTAAAAAACTCACTTATTTACTTGTGTGAACCCGACTTGTGTTGATTGCTGCCGCCTTCCCCATTTTTCGTTACCCCTGTCACCAGCCACTGCAGTGCAGCTCCAGGATTCTCGTTTCCTGTGTGTGTCTGTGTGTGCGCGCACTCACACATGCATGGTTTTTTAAAAGACAGAGCCTGCAGTTAAACTGCATCAGAGTCTTAACCCTGCAAAAGTCTTAAACTGCAAAAGTCTTAAGCAGTTGCTAACGACGATCATCCGTAAACTCTTTGATACAATCAGAGGCAACCTCTCGGGACTCCCCGGTGGGGCTGGCTGAGGGTCCCAGGCCCTGGCTCCCCCTGCCCGTTTGACTGAACAGGTCGCGTGCCTGTGTGCGAGCGCGGTGTGCGAGTGTGGCGTGGAGTGTTTGGCTCTCTTCCGAGACACCGAGGGGTTGTCGAGGCTGTCCCTGGACCGTGCCGTGTTCCATGTTCATCTTCCAAGTATCTTGCGAGTTCCGTACATGCACTCACCTTCCTAGCTAGGTTCTGGGGTGCCTTCCTTGGAGGCTCAGGAGGAGATGCTTCCACTACTGTCCTCATTGGAGTTGGGCTCTCTTCTTCCATTGCAGAATTCCTGGGTGTGTGCGGGGCGGGGAGTATGATGGGCAGTTGGGACCAGAAGCAGCCGGGAAACAGTGGCCCTCTGTTGACTTTTGTATATGTTTGTCAGGTACCTGTTTGTTTTACAACTCAGGCATGACATTCTTTCAGGAAAGTAAGTATGTTTTGTTTTACCTCTTAAACCCAGGATAGATCATAGTGTATTTCTAAATAACTCTGACTGTTTTGTTTTTTAACTCTCTTACCCTTGTTCCCTTTTCAAAATTCAAAAAAAAGTACACCAGGCATTGTAAAGTGAGTCTAATACTTGTATCACTGTCATCATCTTATTTTAAATAATTACTCTATGGCTTGAAGCATTTCCAAGAGCATTTAATATCTTAAGTGATGTGTATTTGGGAATCATTCTCTCCCCGATCACATCACTGGCCCATTCATAATGGCTTTTGTCGTATTTGCAAGCAAGATACGTTATTAGTATGTATACACTTACAAGTATTTGGACAATCAAAAAGTCTCATTCATCACCGTTTGCATTCAATAATGTAAAGAGGTAATGTTCTGATTCTGATAGAAAGAGGTTTAGACATTTCATCCCATTTCCTTTGCCCCTCTTAAAAGTGGTTTTTAAATACTAGGCCTCTGGCTACCCAGGGAGCGTTGAAGACAGGAGCATTGGCACCGTAGTGGTTGCTGTTACAGGCAATATTGATTCACTCTGAAGAGATAAGATTTACAGCCATAGCTTTTACAGTTGTGTTATTTCTCAGCATATGTACTGAATATTTTCTCTTCCATGAAAAACTAAGACTCTACTGAATCTAAAAAGCAATACCTGATACTGACCAGAATGCATTTTGATTTTGAATATAATCTGAAGGAAATTTAAAATGTGATTTCCGAATTTGCAAACTCTTCTTCAATAGAATATGCGCAATACAAATCTTATTGGAATATACACTATAGAACAAGTAGATTGTACAGTGTATACATTTGCCTTATTCAGCCATGCAAAACAGATCTTTGATTGACTTGTGTATTATGAGTATGTGTGTATTTTTATCTCCCTCCCCCTTTCTCCATACTGTGCTCCTCATACTAAAGGCCTCTGAACTCTAGTCAATGTCCTCAGTTTGGAAAAATATTAATGGTGACATCTTGCATTTGTATAGTACTTTGCGGTTTACATGCCCTTCAGCCTGATTTACTGTACTTCAAAGCAGAATGGTGTTCTGGTCCGAGCACTGCCTCCTCCCAGCTGGATGAGCTTGGGCAAGATACAGAACACTCAGTTCCTCGTGTCTGAGTGGGGGTGGGAGCACTGCCAACCCCTGGCCTAGGGGTCTGCAAACTCCATGCATTGACCAAATTGGAGCATATAGATGACAAGGCTTTGGAAACTGTGAAGTGCTATACCAATGTACGTCATTACTATTTTTCTAACTAAACTTGTAATATTAAATATGAATGAGATCCTGATTTGTGGTAGTAAATACACTTCTGTGGCTCTACCTCAGTTATATGAGCGTATCCAGCTGTCCTGGCAATGTTAGATATTGTGTCTGTCTGTTTCTTTTTAATATTACAATCTTGTCTCAAAGATTTATGGCAGCTTGGAAAGGTGCATGTACTATGTCAAGATAAAATAAGTTTTAGAATAATAAGAGGAGGCTTTTATTCTATTTCCCAAGCTTCCCCGTTTTTTGTGAAATTCGCTCAAGTTGCCCACAGGGTTGATAGAACCTATACCTAGATTGGGTTATTTTACCAAATGATAACTGACTTTGGGAAATATGTAGAGTTAAGTCAGCTTACTTTCATTCTTTTATGTGGACAGAAAAAATAGAAACCACAGAAAACAAAAATCATTATTTAAAGATCACTACCTTTTTGACAAAGAACTTTAATGACATTTTGCATGATTATGAGTATTTAAGTTCATATATAGAATTAATTTCGTTTCTTTTTTTTCCAAGATTGAAATGCCCATATGAAACAGCTGTGGAATTAGCTGCTCTGTGTCTACAAGGTACATTGTTCTCTTGTGGTCATTAGTATTTTAAAGTTCTTGCTTTCATTTCCACAAATGGGTGTCTGCTGTGTACCAGGCACAGTGCTCTACTTTGGGGGTACAAATGAATGTGATATGGTCTCCATCCTTAAGTAGCTGCGGTCCCGTGAGGACCACCTGCCAGGACCACGTACTCTGTATGCACAGAGTACAGTGTAGTTCCTTCGGGAGGAGAGACCTGCGGGAGGCTTGGGAGAGGAGGTCCCGTGGGAGAATTAGTAAATGAATATGATCAAAGTAGGAAAAGTGTGTGCAGAGAGGCACCGGCAGTTGATTGGTGTCAGAAGATGAAGTTTAAGGAGCTGGATAAGTGGGCGGCCTCAGACCCCTTTAAAGAGCGTGAATATCACGCTGTCAGCAATGGTGCCTTTGAAAGCGTTTAAGAGGGAGGCAGGCCCGGTTGGAAGTGCCTTTTACTAAGTTGGGAGGCCTACGTGAGGAAATGTGTATACAACTCTGGTATCATAATCATATTCCTGTCCCTTGATTTTGATTTTTTGCTTATTGGCCACATACGATTTTGTGGAAGGCTCTTGCTTAGACTTATGTGGGACTCCTGTCTGTGCACTTGTGATGAGGGGCTAGAGGAAGACCAAGACCAGGCTGGGGGTGCAGGGAGGAGGTGTCACTGTGATTAAAAGATTAAACTGAATAGGGCTGGGGGTTAAACATGCACGCACACACCAAAACAAACACCGGAACAGCGCTGGTGACGCAAGAAGGACCTGGTCATCAGGCCTAGGTGTTGAGAGAGGCATCAGAGGTGGCTTGCAGGCTGCTCCCAAGGATAGGTAACGGAATGGTTAGGAGAATAGTTGGGCTTCAGCGGGGGAGACTTCAGAGTAAGGGCACTTGGCTGAGAGGTGCTTCCTGAGGGTGCCAGTCTGACTTGGCGAGAAGCATCGAGAGGGGAGTCATCAGCGTGTGGGTGGGAAGTGGATGGTAAGAGGTTTGCCCCCATGACCGTCAGCATTGACAGTTCCATCCATAGGATGCACTGGTGGATCTTCCAAGTGCACAAGGGACACTTGCCACAGTCTCCAGCCCTAATTAAGAGGGTCCTAATGTGTCGTTGCACATAAGGAATTTCATCAGCCCATCAGATGGACACATGCCATGGACCTGCTTACTAGTGTGCTCATTGGCTCCCATGGAATAATGAATTACTCATTCATAATTACTGATTGTTTTTTGAACACCATAAGATTTGGCTTCTCACTTTTACATTTACCAATTTCTAAAAGTTGATCTGAGTCTTCAAGTTAGAAAGTCTGTACACACTTATTATAGAAAACCAGGACAACACCACAGCCGACAGGCAGAAGGAAAGCGGCTCCGCTCTATCCTGCCAGCCACAGACAGCCAGAGATTCTCTCTGTGAGTTTCAAATGGGGTTTTTTAAATGTAACTTTGTCCAGAGTCATATATAAAATGTTTGTATGTGTTTCTATTTGCCATTTTTGGTACATGCGTTTTGTCATTTTTATACTCCTAAAGATGGTTCTTAACGACCTCAGATTATCCCCCTTCCTTAGCTTTCTTATTCTCTAATGGGTGCTCAGCATATGGTAGCTGCTTAGGAAGAACAGAATAAATTGAATAAAGTTGAAGAGGCCCTCACTGACTTTGGTTGAAGGGGGAGCCTGTCCCTGAGGTCTGAAGGCATTCGTGGTAGAAGTGATAATACTGCCACCTGCAACTGTCTCTGCCAAGTACAGGGATAAGTGCGTCATGTCCATATATCCCTAATACAGCCGTCCTTACGGCCAGTGCCATGAGGATGTGTAATGGCTCGGGGAACTTGGAAACGGACTGTCCGCTTTGACCAGGTATGGATTCCCCCGGCTCGTCAGGTCGCGTGCACCCTCGAGATTCTGAGTTGCCCGGAGTTCACCCCCTCAGGCGTGGTGGCCCGCACTAGATGTCAGGGTATAGTCACTGGGACAAAAAAGCGTCCGTGTCAGACCGGGGGCCCCCACTGCACTGGGGGGATTTCTTCCTTAGGCCATGGGCACACTATGTAAACCTGTACATGGGCTGGAATGATTAGAGGATGAGGAACACACCTCACCGCCCCCCAACCTGTGCGATGAAGGCATTGCCACATTCACCAAGCCCAGCTCCAGACCAGCCTTGCATATGCCTTGCCCGGAACCAGCGCAGACAAAAATATCAGCTGTCCGTGAGCCCTTCTTGAAGAAATTGCCCGTTTGAGTGGCAACAACATTAGTGTGATTTAAGATGCAGTCATTATGTCAGGTATAGATAAAAACACTGAAGACAGACATGCTAATGTCTACGGCAAGCTCTTGTTCCGCTCTCCCCACTCTGTCCCCCCTTTCCCTACTGCATCAGTTAGTGCTGGAGCCTGCTTTTCAGTTCAGCCACAGCCGAGCCAGCTTGCCTCAGACGATAAGGATCACTAAGCATCTCTGTGGATTTGAATAACAAAAACAGTTGCGTTTCTTCCCGGGCTTGAGCCTTGAAGGCATGTCTTGCTGTGGTTGTCCTTGAAGGAATGATGAGTTAGGATGCACTTTGGGGAACTAAATTTAGGGTAGATTTGAAATTTATTTCAGACGAGAAAGAAAAACAAGGGAGGAAGGAGAATAGGACCATCATTGGTTGTGTGCCGTGATCTCATTTCATCCTTGCAACAGTTCCCGTTTCACAGCTACAACATCAGAGACCCTGAGAGGTTAACGACTTGCTCGGGTCACACAGGCCACGCACAGCAGAGGTGGCACGCCTGCCCCGCTGTGTCGGAGCTGTTTCCTCCACCCTCCACAGCCGGGGCCCTGGCTGCAGAGGTCACAGACTGAGTGCAGTGTCCAGTTTTGCCAGCAGGTTCTTGGAAGGCAGGCGTGCTATCGCAACATGGGTCTCCCTTGGGCCTCTTTAGGTCCAGTCGCGGTGAGGAGGGGCACCAGCCCCCTTGCCGGGTCCCAGGGAAACCTTGTCATTGTCTGGCTTCTCCCTCCTGTACTTGATGGTGTCAGTGGACTTGTCCAGACATACCGCTAAAGGCAGGGCTGTGCTGTCTCACTTTGGCCCAAGGGAAGAGCGGTTTACATCAAGGACATCTTTTCCCAGACTGCCCCTCTGCTCTTGCTAGGTCCCTAGTTTCAGGGTGACCTCTTGTTAAGAGGTCAGTGGTGGCCTCCCACCTTGGAAGCCCGGGCCTCGCCTTCTCTGGGCAAATTCTAGAGCAGTCTTCATTAGTGACTTTGCCCAAGGTACCAAGCAGCTGCACACCCTGACCCAGCCCACCTGGTCTTCTTGGTGGGGGGCCACCCACCCTCGAGTTGCAGATGAGGGGCTCTACTCAGGTGAGGAAACATTCAGCAGGTCCCTGCCCACTGTCACACAAGGTCTTACCCAGTCTTCCCACCACTCCTCCAAGCCTGTATTCATGCTTCCTCCGTGTGATCGGGAAGTTTGTCCACTTCTGCAAGCCAGCCGGTGTCCTCAGCGGCCCGTGCTGGGCCTGGGGTGGCTCACATGGGGTGATGGACAGGGCTGCTGGGTACAGTGTGAGTTGCTGACAGTGGAGGTACTCAGGCGTATATGCTGGCCGGTCATTTAATGGGATTTGCTGTGTTAAGCAGTGGTTCTCAGAGTATGTTCCCTGGGTCAGCCTCATCAGCATCTCCTGGGACCTTGCTACAAATTCTCAGGTCTTAGTGCCGACCCTGGGGGTGGGGTCCAGGGCTGTGTGTTGTAACGAGCCTTCCAGGTGACCCCCGATGCACACTCGTGCTTGAAAACCGCTGTTGTAGATCAGTGCTTTTCAAAGCAACGTGTGTACCAACCACCTGGGCATTGTAAGAAAAGGCGGGTTTCGCTTCGGTAGGTCCGAGGTCGGGCCCGAGATCCTGCACTGTGAGACGGCTCCCAGGTGATGCTGCTGCTTCTGGTCTAGGGGTGACCCGCTTTGTGCAGCAAGGTGTTAGAGGAGCCTCTGGAGGACCCCTGTTCTTTCTCGGGTCTGCTTCCTGAGCTGCAGGGGTGTGGGGTTTGGGGATGGCCTTGGACTTCCCCTTCCGTGTCCTGGGGGAACGGGGCCCCTGTGTCCTCGGGTCGTCCGTTCTGCAGGGGTGCTGGCTGAGAGCAGGGTCCAGCAGCACCGGCTTTTTGCGGGGATTGCCCACGGGGCTGCCCCTCCTGTGCGCGGCAGGCCCCTGCCCTCCCTGGTCCTCCGTTCCGCCTGAGCTGCGGCAGTCGCTCCTGCAGCTCTTCTGGGTACCTGCTCTTCCTTCACTCCTTCCCTCTCCCTCCCAACATATTTGTCTCCTGGATTCTGCATGTGCTGAATTCTTGATTGGTCCTCACCGGCACTGCAGACCCTGGAGTGCTGCTCAGACCCACCTGCTTAAGGGGAGCTTTGTTAAATGGATGTTTCTGGGCGGGTCCTTATTCCCTGCAGTGGCCTTTTATTGCAGATTCAGGCTCTACAGCTTTATCAGTGTGGCGGGGGCGGGGAGGGGGTGGGTATGTAACAGGGGCCTCCTTGGGTAGGGGGAGTAGTCAGGAGAAAGGCAGTACTCACTAAGATGATGGTGTTGTGCCCGATGGAGGGCGGGCGCTAGAATGACTCTTGGGGGTTCTGAATGTACACGTGGGTACCGAGAGGGAGTTGAGTCCTCCTGAAAGGGGAGAGTTCTGCATTTGGGGCACTCGTGCTTTCTTACGATGCAAAACGCCTTTGGACCTGGTTGCAGCAGGGATGAAAAACATTCAATGTCTCCTGTGTTTTCTCCCTCTCATGAAACTTGCAGCGGAGCTTGGGGAGTGTGAGCTTCCAGAACACACACCAGAGCTTGTGTCTGAGTTTCGGTTCATTCCAAATCAGACAGAAGCGATGGAATTTGATATCTTCCAGAGATGGAAAGAGTGCAGGTACCTTGATGCATTTATTTTGGGATATGTAAGTGTTTGTAAGATTCTTTTATCTACTGTAAAATTGGAGCCCCAGCCCTTTGCCTCTCTCTCCTGTGCTCCAGTCTTGTTTACCTGAAGGCCCACACATCTCTCTTGCCAGCGATGTACAGTAAAAACCAAAGCACACTCCCATTTCTCTCTGAATTACACAGCTGGATCCTGATCTGCCCTTTGCTCCCAGGGACGCCTCCTCAAGAAAGCGAGGAGGTGCTGCCTTGATCTAGTCCACGCACCTGGATCTCTGTCCATGGTCTGAACTGAAGAGTATAAACTCTTAGAGGGACACGCATGTTGGAGACCATGTGCTGTGCAGCATTGTATTTCAGACACATGGTCACCGCAGCTAAAACCAGCCCTGCCATTTCTCTTTGGGCTTTTTCCTCCTTTCCCCCACGGACACCCTGGTCTGGCGCCTTTATGCCTGGTCTACCAGCGGCGCCTCCACTCACAAGTATCTCAGACTTTAGCCTTCCTGCCCAGCGCATCTTCCCCAGGCTCTGCCGTTCCAAGGCCCTCTTGGACTCAGAAACTCAGCATGGTTTCCTGTTGTCCCTCAGTCATTCCGAAGGACGTGTGACTTTTTTGAAAGTGGAGGGTGATGTGAGCATGTTCTCGTATCACATACAGACCTGTGGTTGCAGAGTGACCTGCCCCGCTGCACGCCGCCCCCTCCCCACGGCAGGCAACCCTTGTCAGCCAGTAGTGTGTGTTCTCAGCCTTTCCTTGGAATATACACACCCGTATCTACACACCAAAAAATCGTCTCCTGAAGTGTTCACATTATAAACACTGCTCTCTCATGGTCCTAGTCGACTAACAGCCTGTTCTGGAGGTGTGTTAATACGGGTGTCCCTTGTTTCTTTAATTGCTGCATAAAATCCCTTAGTGTGTGGCTGTGCCCTTCAGAATTTTGTGGGTGTACAAGTTTCAGTTTACATGTATTTCCATTGGTTTTTCTAAGGGGAAAGAGCCCTGCCCAGGCGGAACTCTCCTATCTGAATAAAGCGAAGTGGCTGGAAATGTATGGGGTAGACATGCACGTTGTCAGGGTAAGAACTGGGTGCATGTAAGTCGTTGGGTCTCCCTGTGACTGAGCAATGTGTAAGCGATGTGCAAACAAAGTAATGTGGTGAGCAAACTGTTTTACATTCTGCTCTGTGACGACCTGTTAGAACCTTCTACCGATTGTCACTTCATTTATTTGTAGGGAAGAGATGGCTGTGAATATTCTCTTGGACTGACCCCGACAGGCATATTAATCTTTGAAGGAGCTAACAAAATAGGCTTATTCTTTTGGTAATTTAGTTTTGTCTAATATTAAAAATGTCTTTTCCTATTTTGTGGTGGAATTATATGTGATGAATGATTATTGAGGGATATTTGCAACGCCCTGATTCATTTTAAAAGCACACCATTCTCTTTAATATGTGGGTGTGTGGCAATGGCAATGAAGCTTCTGGATAATCACCCTTAAATGAACGAATGATTTCTTAGCAAATCCAAGCTTTAAAAGTAGAAAGGAAACTGCTGTTGGATGTGGAGTTTTCCTGCAGACTGTACTTTTACAATGTTTTCTCTGACCAGGCCTAAAATTACCAAAATGGATTTCAAAAAGAGCAAACTGACGCTGGTAGTGGTGGAGGACGATGATCAGGTAACCCTCGCTCCCGTTTCTCGCGCTTGCCACGGGGAATCCTCCCTGCGTGTTCCGCGGGCCCACTGAAACGAGAACCCCCGTGCTTCCCCATGCAGGGCCGGGAACAGGAACACACGTTTGTCTTCCGCTTGGACAGTGCCAGGACCTGCAAGCACCTGTGGAAGTGCGCAGTCGAGCATCACGCGTTCTTCCGGCTGCGGACGCCAGGAAATAGCAAATCGAATAGATCAGACTTTATCAGGCTGGGGTCTCGCTTCAGATTCAGGTAGGTGCCGTGTTTTACAATGCGATCGCGTGTTTTGAAGGAGGGCAGCAGTGCTGTTTTTTCTGAAGGGAGCCATGGATCTGCATCCAGACGCTCAAGCTGGACGTCCCGTCCCTGCTTCTTTAAGACCTGACCTTTAGCCCTGGCTGGTGTGACTCAGTGGATTGAGTGCCGGCCTGCGAACCAAAGGGTCGCCGGTTCGATTCCCAGTCAGGGCATGTGCCTGGGTTGTGGGCCAGGTCCCAGTAGGGGGTGCACAAGAGGCAACCACACGTTGATGTTTCTCTCTCTTTCTCCCTCCCTTCCCCTCTTTCTAAAAATAAATAATTTAAAATCTTTAAAAAAATAAAAAAGACCTGACCTTTAGGCAAGTCCCGGAGGCTCTTTCAGCCTATGTTCTCATTGATGAAATGGGGATAATAATAATAACAAGGTATTAATTGCTGGCATTTAGCTTGAACTAGGCTGTCTGATACAGAAAACACTAGCCACATGAGGCTATTTAGATTCGTTCACAGTACAGGAATTTTAAACTGTAGTTTCTCAGTCTCACTAACCACGCTTCAGGCGCCCGGGGCACACGAGGCAGGTGGTTACCGCGTTGGGCAGCGGCAGCCACAGAACGCAAGCGGCACTGAGGGCAGCTCTGTCACCGCACTGCACCAGGGCGTCCCACGTGCCGACTCACAGTCCTCCCGGCAGCCTTCAGAAGACGGGGCCCCTGGCTGTCCCCATTTTACAGATAAGGAACCTAGGGCCAGGGGGTTACATAACCTGCCCAGAGTCACAGACAGTTAATGGTACAGCCAAGATTCCACCCCACACTCTCTGGGTCCTGACCTTTTAACCCCTCCTCTGTTGCTTTTCACATGCGCATGTCAAGAAATTCCTTGGCATTTGAGAACGAGAGCAGATGTCAACATGCTTGTGAGTGACCCAGGGCAAGCTCAGTAAATACTTGAATCTGAAAAGGCCCTGAAAAAAAATAGAGAATTTATTCTGGTATATTTATACTTATGATTCTGAGACCATGTCTCCCAATGTGTATGAAAACTCCCTGGGCGTTTGTTAAAAATGAGGATTTATGACCTCATCTACAACCTTTGCCATCGGAGTCAGTGCGTGCCCCCACGTGCATGTATGAAGAAGGCCTGGGCGTGTGCATTTTCAGTGTGCTCCCAAGGTTGATTTCTGAGGCACGTTTACAGATCTGAGCGCAGCTCTTACAGGATCTAAGACTTCACATGTTTCATAACCTCTACCCACACATGGCATGTCCTTGAACTCTGTTTAAAGTGCCAAAAGATCTGCACATTTCAAATTTATCTCTGTGCAGGGGAATGCGGTGCACTCGTGGTTAAAGAATTATTTTGTTTGAATGTATTTTTAAATGTTGCGAGGCGGGGGGAAAAACACCAGCTCCTTTCTGAGAATCGAATCCCAGGGTTCTGTGGAGGATGGAGAGTGTCAGGGCTGCAAAGGTTAAGGGAGATGTTGCACGGTGGGCTGATGCCTGCTGGAGTCGGAGTGAGGACGGAAGGCCTGTGGGGGAGGCTGCCAAGGCAGGGGTTCCCATCTCGGGAGGCAGCTTCCCCAGGATCTGGCCCAGACCAGGCTCCCTTCTGCTCTTGGAAGAGAAGCTTAGAGAGAAAGGGGAGTTTCGAAATGAGGTTGCCCCTGGGAGGCCCTTAGAGCAGGTGGCAGGTGGCTCCTTCCGTGTGATAAACCCTAAACCGAGAGTGGCTGGAGGGAAGCAGAGACTGACGGTCTAAAGCAGCGTGCCTGCTGGAAGCTGGGCAGCACATGGGTGGACACCCAGGAAGCCCTGGCAAGAGAAGCAACCTTTCCCGAGGCATGGCAAGCAAAGCCAAGGTTCAGATAAGTGGTCATCGATAACAGCCTTTTAAAAGATTTAAAATGTCTGTGTAATTTGTTTTATGAAAGGTTATTATACATGAGAATCAGTGTTCTCTTAGTCAGATGTTCCAAGTACTTGAACCCACTTGGTCTGTGCAGCCAAGTAGCTGGTACCTAAATTGTAGGTTTTGCCCTTTGATGGAAATGCTTGCCTCTGTCACACAGCCTGGATTTGGCAAAGGCGATTTTATTTCCAAATGGAAATTTCGCGTGTTCTTTACCAAATGAGTCACAAGAGGTTGAAAGTGACATTGGAACTCTTGGAACTAAAAAGTTCGCTTTCAAATGTGTGTCATGAACTGATATTCTGATGTTGGTAACAAGCAATAAAATATTTACTTCCAGTGGGCGGACGGAATATCAAGCTACACATGGGGCCCGGTTACGAAGAACCAGCACCTTTGAGAGGAAGCCTAGCAAACGCTATCCATCCCGGAGACATGCGACGTTCAAAGGTTGCGTGTTTTTCATTCTGCCTTGGAATTTTACATTATGGTTTAGTTGGTTCATCCCCAAGGGGCTGGGTAAAGCAGATTCTGAAGGAACTTCCTGCTGTTTGGCTCTGTCATCCTGAAGGTTTTTATTTTTATTTTTAATTATAGTGAAATGTAATGCTGTATTAGTGTCAGGTATTAGCATAGCACGCTAACATTTATATTTATATGCTGTTGACCTGGCACCTATACTTTCCCATTCTAGAACCTTTAACCCACTCTTTCCTTCCTTTCTGGACCAAAAGTGCAATAGCCTGGCATCCAGAACTTCTCTAAAGTCTTTCTTAGCTGCTTTAGTGGAGACCAAAAAAAATGCCTGGATCCCAGGAAATGTTGACCTCACCTTCAAGAAAACCGCCCGGATGAGACATGCCCAGGGAGGGGTGCCAGGCAGTGAAGGGGCACTGACTGCAGGAACGGGCAGTGACTGAGTGGGGGGGTGGGGAGCGGCGGGGGCGCCCGTAATGTCCCACGGGCTCTGCTACCTCCCTGACAAGCACCGAGCTTATGTGTGTAGTCCATGGGGTCAAAATTGTGCAGAAACCCCTCAGTATAAGGAGGAACTTTCTAATGGGGCTGTCCAGAGACACTGCTATCTTAGGACAGCAGTGAGCTCCCAGTCCCCGGGCCAACGTGCAGGCGCAACGGGAAAGCCCCCTTGCTGTGGCTGCCCCAGCGGGGAGGGGGCATCCTTACGCTTGACCCCCGTGCGGTGGCGTTAGGGCTCTTCCAGGCTCTGTGTTTCTCTCCCACTTTCTTTCCTGACCTCCATCCTCTTTTCCTGCTTTGTTTCACTGACATTTTCTCCAGCCAGAGTTCTGGCACCTTTGCAAAGCTTTTGATGGTTCTCCATGCTGCATCCCTTTAAAAGTGGAGTGGAGTCTGGATAAATGAGCTCTAGCTCTTTGCGCGGCCCCTTCCACAGACTCACACCCTGCCCCCGACGGCAGGGACTGCCCTGAGCTTCCCCAGGCGGTTCAGCCTTGTACTTAGCCTTTGTCACCTTACGCCTCTCTGCCTCTGTTTGTGTCAAGCCTGGGAGCTTCTTGAGAGCAAGGTCTGTGCCTGTCATCTCTGCATCGCAGAGTGTTGGGCCCTGGGACGGGGCTCAGAGAGCTTTGGCCGAGAGAATCGGGGCGGCGGGTGGGGCGGCGGGGGCAGGACACAGAGGGAAGTCCAGTTGCTTCTCCTCCAGAAAGGAGAAGCTGCCAGGGCAGAGTCTGCCTCCTGGCGTGGAGGCAGCCCTCAGACCCCAGAAATCTCTTTAGTGTGGTAAAAGTGATAAAGCTCTCTAAGATGTCATGCCTCTCTCTCTTTTTTTCTTTTTTTTTTTTTTGTTTGTTTTTAAAGCAAGCAACCCGGTGATAGCCGCTCAGCTCTGGTAAGTGCCCCCCAGGCTCTGGGGTACAGCTCTTTTCTCTGTTATATTTACTTTCAATATTGACTTTTCCCTTGATACAATTAAATCACCAAGGGAGCCCGCTGATCTTTTTCTTTCTTTCTTTTTTTTTTTCTTTTCTTTTTCTGCTGCCTGGCTATACCATCCCCCTGGCTTTCACTAAGTACACAGCAGAATGTTCCAAGACAGTTTGTTTTTTTAGAAAACACAGCTGCCTTGTTTGAGTAGCTCTGTGCTTTGTTTATTATACCAGTGGGTGATAAAGGTGATAGGAATGTGTGCAGCACACGGTGCTCATGGCGTCGCGGGTGGTGCTGGGGAAGGAAGGCCATGCCCGGAAGCCAACGCTTGGTGAGCGCAGATGCCAGGACACAGGCCGTGATGGGCAGTCGTACAGTGTAGAAGACCTTCAGTAAATGCCTTCATTGCCATTCCTACAGGAGAAAGAGCTTGTCCCAAGACTGAAACTCTAGCACAAAAGTCAGCCAATGCTTTCAGTAGAGTGCCAGGTAGTCAATACTTTAGACTTCGCAGGCCCTGTGTCCTTCTCACAAGTACTCAGCTCTGTTGCTGGAGCCCAAAAACCACCATAGACAACTTGTAAATGAAGGAACACGGCTGTGCGCCAATTAGACTTGACTCACTATTGCAGGTAGGCCAGGGTAGGACCGTGGGGAGTGGTTTGCCAGTTCCCTCCCTGGCACAGGTGTTCTCGATGCTTCCTATACATTGGAATCACCTGGTCAACTTTGACACGTCCCCATCAGCCAGGCTATACTTCAGGCTAAGGGACAGTCTCTGAGGGAGGGACCCAGGCACCTGTGGTTTTGAAAGCCCCCAGGTAATTCCCGTGTGGAGCCCAGGCAAGAACCACCATCCTACCTTGTATGTGCCTCTTTGTCTCCGTCTGAAACAACTGTTTTCTTCAATGGGTTTTGACTTGTTAGCTGGACAGCAGGTAGAGAATCGCAGAATGTGGTTGTTTCAACCCTTGCATCCATACCCCAGCCACTGACCAGTCACCCCGTTAGTTAGCCTCCCAGTCGTTGGAGGCGCAGCCCTGAGGCTGCTGGGGTTGGGAGGGTGGTCCTGGAGACCCGCACAGTTCAGCTGTGCTGCGCGCACCGGATGGTCGCCGAGCACATGGCAGAGAGGGTAGCCGACGCCCGACTGGTGGTGAGCCCCCTGGCCGAGGGATCAGGAGGCCTCCCGAGGCCTGGCCACAGCTTGCCTCTGACCCTGCTCTGAGGCCTCCTGGCCTTCCCCGTTCTGGGCCTTCTCTTTCTCATTTGAAAACAAGAAGGTTCGAGTAGATAGTGGGGGTTTTTTTTTCAGACTTTTTTGGGCTCTGATTTTCAGCCGCTGCCCCTGATATAACCTGACAAAAAGAAGAGAAGGAAGTGGTCTTTCTGGGGATGAAACAGAGCAGGGCAGGTGGGGTCAGTGCCTGCTGATCACCGCCGCCCATCCTGATAGCCCCCAAGGCCCTAGATCCCCAGGGTTCTAGAGAACATAACTGGCCCCTTGTATCTCTCAGCTGGATATGCAACCTCGAGTCCCTGATTTCAAACCACCTGCAAGACCATTCTACTGGGGTCAAGCCTCTGCCTCTATGTCTAGGTTCAGTTCTCAGCATCTGAGGAAGGGGCTCTGGGGTCCCGTTGAACTGCCGTGCCTCACGCCCGCCCACGCATCCACCCCAGGGTGGGAGGAGGTTGCAGAGCTCCTGCACGGGTTAGCTTTGGGCCTTCAGGCTTGTCCTATTTCTAGCATCCTTGTGGCAGGTAGGATGCTCATAGTATTTGCTCCTTTCTCCACCTGTCAGCGTGTCTTACTTTTAATTCTCAGGGGTTCATGCGTTGTAGCATTTCTTTCCTTCGCCAAGGAAGTGATTGTTTTGTTTGTTTGCTTTTCCCTAATGAAATTACATTTCCCACTTAGCGTCTAGTGGAGATTATATACTGGGAACCAAAACAAGCTAAAAAAAAAAAAAAACAAACACAAAACCCTCCAAAAAAAAATAAATTAAAAACGAAACCCAAGTAAATATACCCTTCAGGAACAAATGAGCTAATAACCACTGTTTGCAGCTGTTGCATTGTTCTCCTCAGCCTGTGGGATCCAGGGTGAATAGGGTCGCTCTGGGAGCCGGGGAGGAGATGGCCCTCTGGACTGCAGAGGCGATACCAGAGAATAGCCCCTTGCAGAACGCTTCACCTTCCTGATGCAACGCAGCCGGGGGCGAATCTGGCCCAGAGCCTGGCCCTGTGTGCTGGCCCCCTCTGAACACTGGAACACAGCGCTGTGTCGACCCCAGAGTGGTGTCTCCCTCTCATTGGTGGAGAAGCAGTAAACCTTGCTTTCAAGCACACCACCCTAGCAACACAGCCTGATGATGGTGCCGTGTTTGTCTGAGGTTTTTCTGGCAGGCGCCAAGCTTGCCTGTTAAATAACACGTTATGTTTTACACCAGCCTTTACTGTGCATCCTTTTTACTAGAGTAGTTTTACCTAAGAATCCGACAAAAAAGGATTGTGCAGGAGGAGCCTGGAACCTTCTTGGCTTAGGGGAAACAATACAGGCTTTAGGATCAAGCAGACATTCATTCCAGGCCCAGCTCTGCCAGGGATTAGCTGGCTGACCCTGAGCGGGTTTCCTAACTTCTCTGTTAGGCAATCATTCCTTTATCTATATAAAATGAGGTGGTAACATTTATCGACCTCATAGCCCTGTTGCATGGATTAAATAACAACAGATGTGCAGTTCCCAGCACAGAGCCTTATATGGAATGAACATTCCAGAGTGGTAGCCAGCTCCCGGCTTCATTGTTGTTGGCAGTGGGACCCGTAGTGTCAGGTGCTCAGAAGTGGCTGGTGGCTCTCCCTCCAGCTGCAGAAAACTGGGCATCGGTGGGGCTGCCTGGTGCCATGGGCCACCCAGCAGTGCCAGGGCAGGTCTGGACTGGGCACTAAAATAACTGGGTTTGCCTCATTGGAAGGACCTCCTTTTTACCACCAAAATATGACATGACAACCGGGCTTCTGGAATATTACCTGCCTGCTTTTTTCATATTTGTGAGCTCTAACGTGATGAAGGAATGTTGCTTTGGTTTCTCCAGTTATATGTTCACTTAAGCATCTACTAACCAAAAAGAAAGAGCATTTGTGCAAGTTCCTAACAGAGTAGATAGGGCTTAGGATTAGTTGATGATGTTTAAATACAGGCATATCTCGTTTTATTGCACTTCATAGATGTTCCTTTTTGGGGGAGGGGGTGGGGGTTTTTTTGTTGTTGTTTTTCCTTACAAATTGAAGGCAAGACCCTCTACCAGCAAGAAGATGATGGCTCAGTTTATTGTGAGACATGCTTTATTATGGTGGTCAGGGACTGCACCCGCCATAGCTCCGAGGTGTGCCTGTCCATCAGTAATAATGCTGCTCTATGACCTGTTACATTATAATTTTTCTTTTCTTTCCTTTAGCTCTAAAACAAATCCTGAAGTCCATAATTACCAGGTAAGATACTGCTTTGAAAGGTTTTCATGTAATGCTTCTTAAAGTTTCTAAACTTTCCACACTGAGCAGTCATCATGTTTATTATCAGATTTTAAAGAGATAATAACAATGTTTTTTTGAGAACATAGTAAGAGGAGCATCTTTACCCTGACCCCTGTATCCTCTTGGTCATAGGAACTGCCTGTTTTTCTTGACCTTGTCAGCTGGCAAGCAGCAGGGACACCCAGCTTATGTTTAAGTTTCTGGGTGGTCAAACACAGCCTTTTGGGGCACTCATGTGAGGCTGCTTCTTGTCCAAGTGTGTCCTAGGCCCTTGAGGCGTGCCTCCAGGAGAGGATGCCTCGCCCACACCTTTGGGGGATGTTGCGTTCTTCATTTCCCTTTATGGCTCTTACGGAGCCCACGGGGGCGTCCGACGTACTGAGAAATCCTGTAAGACACTTTTTTTTTTTAAGCCAGTGTTTCCCAAGATCATTTGATTATTGGACACCTCCCCAGGAAAAAAACTAGCCTTCATCTCGCCCTCCCCCCCTTTTGTGTTGGTGGTACACCGTTCACATCGGCGCAGCAGTGGTTTCCAGAACCCACTTGGTAAAGCAGTGTGCTGGGCCTGTTCCCTGCAGCGGAAGTGTAGATGGGTTTCCGTGGCTGGCGTTCTGCTCTTTCCCATGGTGGCCAGCAGGGCCCGCAGCCCCCTGCCTGCGCACCCGCTGCTCTCGCTGGCCGTTCAGCCTTCTACAGCCTGGCTGCGACTTCCTTTTCTCCCTGCATTTCTCGCTGCTGCTCATCATACAGCACATGTTCCGCTCTCAGAGAATTACATCACTGTTGCCCCATAAGTTCTTCCCCCCGTTCCTTTGCCACTCGACCATCTGGAAGTCCTGTGCCTCCTGTCTGTGTAGAGCCTATCTCAGAAGCCACCTCATCCCCAGATCCTCTCGATTGGAAGTCACCAGCACCAGGGGTTCTGAGCCCTGCTCACTATCTGGCAAGCTTCAAAGCAATACCCAGTGCTTGGGCCGCACCCTGGGCTGATTGAGTCAGGAGCTCTGGGGGTGGGATCTGGGTACGAGAGGGCTTCCGAGCTCCTGAGGTGGTTCTCATGAGCAGCCAGGTCGGGGGACCGTGGGTCAGTGAGGTATCCCTCACTTCCTAGGTTGTCGTTTGTGTTTAGAGGCAGCATCCACGTCTGATGACCTCCTTAAACTTGGGATCAACTTTCTTGTCCTGGTCGGTGTGGATGTCTTAAGGGACACGACTCTTCCTGGTTTCTGTGCCCTATCACCAATCTGGTTTTGAATGTCACAAGTAACAAAGTTACTTTATAATGAGTTCCCCTTGGAGCCTTATTCTAACTAGTCTCATTCTTGACCTTCCATGACAGTGGATATTGATTCCTGAGGTGGGGGTGGGATCCTACGTACATTATCTCTAGGAGGTCTCCAAATTAGGTTTCAGAAGAAATGGGTGATAGCGCTTTCTGGACGTGAAATCATATTCCCAATGGGCAGAAATGGACATGACGTCCAAGTTTTAGGGATCCACACCTGAAAGGTGCTTGCGCCCACCAGGGGACCGGCCAGGTTTCCTGATCTCCTTGCCTTCTTTAGGTTCTTGAATCTTCTTACTTGGACTGGGTTTTTGTTTGTTTTTGAGGGATATTCAGGTGCAGGAGTGGCCGGAATGCAGTGGGGGAAGGGAAGAGTTGTCTGAGGGCGACTACTGTTTGAAGGACGGGAAAAAATAAGTGAAGCAAAGCAGCCCCAGCTCAGGGCTGCCCCTGGCCTCCTGCGCCTGGCCTCACGGGTGAGCGCCCTCTGCTCAGAGCGAACCAGCAGAACCGGAAGGCGATCGGTGGTGGAAATCAGATCTACAGAACCTCTTCCCCACATGTTGTTGTTCTCCACGTCTTTGGCAACCACCGGTCCTCTGCACCTTGCCAGTTTTTGAGGTTCTGTGTTGTTCTCTCAAGGTTGGAGAGTCAGTTGACCAGGAAGGGGATGTTCTGAGAAGCGTGACCTGATAAGCATGTGGGTGCTGAGAAAGGGTTTCAGGAGGATGGGATGGGATGGCAGCATTTATCTTACTCTGAGCTCAGCAAGGTGAGCCAGCTGCAGCGGATGGATTGCTGTGCTCCCGACGAGGACGCGGTTGGCTTCTGGGGAAGGACAGTTCTTCCTTGTTCGGGACCATCGCTAGAGTCACTGGATGTTTAGCTTCCCTCTTCTCTGTCCAGTAGTTAAAGGGAACCCCCCAGTCCTTGTGACAAGCGAAAGTGCATGTATATATTTCTAGTTGTCCTCAAGGGGACAGAACTGGCCTGACTGAGAACCATGTGGGTTAACATTAAAAAATATTCCTGGACAGCTTTACAGTATAAATTGCCAAAGGACACCAAGGAAGGTTCTGGAGTATCCTTCTTCTAGATCGTTGTGGATGAAGGACCCACCCTCTCTCCCGTGAATCCGATCTGGTTGTGTCTGAAGACAGAGAACAGGAGGTCCATTTCTAGTGTCAGTTTTTCTCTTTTGCTGAAGCCTTAAGTGGTGGAGCCTCACTTGGAGCCACAACAGTTGGGCTTTGGGCAAATCATCTATACTTTCTGGGTTTCTGGATCCCCTGAGGGAAGGAAACATGAAGAGACTGCATCTGGCAGATTCTAAAGCCCTGGTCAGCTCTCCGATTCTGCTGCCGAGGGCTTTTCTCCTGCAGCGTGTCCTTCCGGGGGCTGCAGACTTAGCTTGTTGACAGGATCTTGGAAAGAGAGAGGCCTCTGGAATACAGAATAGGCAGGAGGGCATCTCAGGTCCATGAAGATTGAACGAGCAGAATTGCTGAGAATTTTCCATAACAGAGAGCAGCCTTCTGCTTATTAACCAAAGCAGCAGGAAAGGGAAATGGAGGGGAAGAAATAATTAAAAGAGTGATGGTGGCAAGGCTGTAGCGGCTTAAATGTCAGGAGGGCCTAATTTGCCAGGTAGAAAGTTTAGCTTGGAGAAGCCCCGAGGCGTGTGGCTACGTCTGGGACCGCTGCCCTCTGCAGGCCAGTGGAGGATAGGCACCCGCCGCCCAGCCAGCCCCAGCTGTCTTCCCCCTGGGTCATTTAGGGAGTCGCCAGTCTGGATCTATTTTCTCATCCTAAAATGGACACATTTCTTCCTTTCCTTTTATCAAGATAAATCAGCGCTCTGCATGATTTGGGGGGCAGGGAGCATTTTAGATCAGATTTTGGGAAATTATTTTTTGTTCAAACAAGGGAGAAAGATCGCGTGCTGCCACAGCCCTGGGGGGCCCCTGTCCAGGCCTCATCTGGGTGCGTGCAGACGTGACTGTTACCCGTGGTCGTCATCATTTTCAGCAATGACAAAAATTGTTTCTGAGCACTGCCCACTGCTCTCCCTGTCTTCCTGGCACTTTCCATCTATTCCCTTGGGAGAGGTGATTATATTGCCTGTCCTGGGCACTCTGGGGGGCAGGGGAGGGACCCTTTCAATAGCTGATGCATTCACCTTTCTTCTAGGGCAACTTCCCAGCCCCCAGCCTTTGTCTGGGGGAAAGGAGATCGTCCTGGGAAAGAAACGTCCCACCCCCCCTCCGGCCCCTGCCAGGGCTTAGTTATAGCCTTCCCATTCACAGCCCCTCAGGTGCATGCCAGTAAAAGAGAAAGTGAATGAAGACCATTGAAATCAGAAGGTCATGGAATAACCACGTCTGGTGTTTTATTTCTAGCCTCAGTATCATCCCAATATCCACCCCAGCCAGCCCCGGTGGCACCCTCACTCTCCAAACGTAAGGTAAGTGCTTGGGCTCCCAGAGCCGGCCATTCACGAGTTCTTTTCTCCGGGAAAGTTCAGATTCTACTTAGTCATGAATTTAAGGTCTGCGTCAGCAGCTGCTGTTAAGGCCACCTCGTCACAGCAGAGATTAATTCTGCGCAACGCAGAAGAAGCCAGCGGAGAGTCTGGATCTGCTAAAGATAGGCTTTATGACATCAACGTGAATAGGGTGGTTGTTTTTTTTTTAAGTCATTCATCCTCAGATATTTTTATATTAGAAATGTTACTTAAAATTTCTAAGTCACCTGCTCCTGTCCTGAGAATTCATTTACTTAGAATGTCACTAAAGCTTGGGGATTTTTGTTGGGGGTTCTTAAACAGGATTTTTTTCAGGGATGGGGTGAAGGTTTGCTTTTTGTGGTAATGAATCTTTTTTTTTCTAAACCCAAGGGTCAGTAAAGGGCCAGATAGTCAATATTTTGGCTTCGTGGTCTTTGTTACAGCCACTTACCTCTGCCACTGGAGCGTGAAAGCAGCCACAGACAATAGGAAGTGAATGAGTGTGGCTGTGTCCCAATAAACTTTTTTACGGAAGTGGATGGTGAGTGGGCTGTTTGCTCACCTCTGCCCTGACCTACCACAGCCCTTCCTAAGTAAACCAGCACCTGCCCTGTGTGTGTAGTTAGGCCTGAGTGTGTTTTAATGCTAGCTCTGTAAAGGCTGACGTTCCTTTCAAGATCAGCTTTCACTGGTGTTTATGTGTGAAGCTCTTTTAGAAACATAGTTGGTGAATTCCATTTGCATAGTCATTTCTCGATGAGGCAGCCTTGCTCTTTGTGAAAGCACAGAGGACGGAGAAATGGAAATAAATCCGGTTGGAGCGAGGCAAACGGGAGCATTGGTTCTTGACAGCTCCGACCACGTTTGTGGGGGATCCTGTAGAACAGTGCCGATTCAGCAGAAACACTTGATGTAACTTTCAAAAGGGAGTTAAACTAGAGGAGTAAATGAGTCGCAATGTTTCTGTATTGCAAAGGCAGTTTATTTTCCAGACGTGAGAAACAGAAGAGATTTATAGAAATGCTATTTTTAATAACCTTGTTTTGACAGTTTTATACTTCTCACGGCCTAATTTATCATATTAGTTTCCTTCTGAGGCACGACCTCGCCCAGCATTTCACAACAAGAATTCCGAGGAAGGCCGGGACAGGGCTCCTCTCAGGGGGCCCGCCGGCCTGGCAGCAGTAACATCAGTCACCTGAGGGCTTGTGAAGGCAGAGTCTTAGGTCCACCCAGACCTGGATCCAAACCTCGGGGGGTGGGGGTCCAGCATTCTCCGTTTTATCAGGCTCGCCCGAGTTAGAGAAGCGCTAAGATGCCTGTCCCAGAAAAGAGACTTCATGGGTCCCACACTTGGGTAAATGCTGCAGAAGACACTCACAGGGTGCCTTGGTGTCAACAGCCGTGAGCCTCCCCTAGCAAAGGCACCTTTTCCCCTCGACCCGGCTTTCTCCAGACGGACCTTGCAGGGTGAATGCCCAGCCACAGACAGAGCTTTTTTCTATGTGGAAGTTGGTAGATGACCCACATCTGAATGTCTAAAGCGCAGCAGGCAGTCCATTCGTTTCAGTGTGCAAGCCGTTCCCACTCAGGCCGTGCACGGTTTGCCCTGCCCGGTGCCTTTGTGCTCATGTTGTTTCACTCACATTTCTGAATGTTCTTCCATTCCCCCACTAACCATTCACTCTGCAAACGAAACAGGCCATCCGTTCAGGATGACAGGCCGCCTTGGATAGCGCCGGCCAGTGGAGATGACAGCCATTTCGATTATGTCCAGAACCAGAACCAGAAGAACTTAGGAGGAGTGCAGAGTGTGATGTGTCCAGATAAGCTCATGACCACGCTGTGAGCGACCGAGCACCTCACTTCCATTCACCACCCCAGTTTCATTCCATTCCATGAAAAGTGTCTCGGCCTCACGCGGATGTGTTTGTAAAAGCATGTCTAAGGAATAGTTTGGAAAGGCGTTTTCTGTGTCCGTGTAAATATTGGGAAACAATCAAAATAGCTAGCCATAACTTACTGTTGACTGCATTCTCAATAAAATGAAGGTAGGTAAAGGCTCAGGAATCACTTCGATATTCTGATTTTAAAATTGGAGTAAAAGTCTATGTTTGTTGTATTTCTATGTATCTGATATTTCTTTGTTATTTAATGAATGGGACCAGATAAAACCAGAGAAGCGTGGGAAGATAGCTCTGCAGAAAGCACCAGTAATGCGGTGAGGATGGCAGTAGCCAGGGCCCCACCCCTGCCATCGTGTGATCTCAGACAAGCCCTGTCCCCTTCCTTGGCCACATTTTCCTCCTCTGAAAAGACCGGGTTGGACGAATGGATCGGCAAGGTCCTTTCCAACTCTAAAATTCTGCAATTCGTTAAAATTTAACATTTTTAGGCTATTGGTAGGAAAACTGCAATACCCCCTGTATAACAGAGGTTACCCCATCCAGAAGCTAAATAAATCGTGTTACCTTGTTAGGTGTTATGTAATGCAGGGAGGCTTTGAATTTCAGATCTTGAGACAGTTTAGCCACTTTGAATTTTAGAGATTTGACTAATCATAAATTGCATAGCATCCATTTTGATAGGAGTTGCTGCTCAAGTACAAGAATAATTAAGGATAAATTTGTAACGTCTTAATGATTGGTGCGGCTAACTCGCATGATTTCAGAAGACATGATTATGGATATACACTGTCGGCATTTGTAGGATTTGAGGGTTGGTTTTCACCCTAGACTTCACTCTTTTAAAAAACAACACGCAATCAGAGATGCATATGGCTTAAGTTAAAGCATACAAGGTTTTACAAAGTTGTGCCAAAGCATTCTGTAGACTAGGGTAGCATGAGTGTTGCACAGTCTTGTTGTAGAACCGGAAATTAATATGTTGTCCTTTAGGATAGAAGTCATACCAAAATATTTATTTCCCCCCATTTCAAGTTACGAGTCAAACACTGTTTCTCTTAATAGATAGGCCTGAGATACTCTTTGTTAGTATTTTTCTGAAATCACATCCCGTGCCATTTTTATGTATGTAATTGTATTTTGGCCCATTTCAAGCCTTTTAAAAAAATGTATTGACATCTCTTGAGATATTTTATTGCTAAAATCTGATCTTTTTTGGGTACCCCCAAATCAATCCAGAAGGAGGGAGTCAGCTGCCCTGCCCCCGCTCAGTGGAATCTGTATCACGTATAAACTCCCCAAAGAGATTTGTTTACAGTTATAACCCATTTCAGCAGATGTCCTGATGCTCACTGTATGTGCTGTGTACATATACATGTGTTCTGAAGCTTTTAATCTTATTGATACGTTTTTACAAATATGTTTCCAAGGAATAAAGATTATTCTTGCTTGTTTTGGCTCCATCTTCATTTTGTGGCTGCGCAGAAGTGTCATTTGTGGATGACGCAGGTGACGTCTCAGTGAGCGTTCGGGAGTCTGTTAGGTGGCAATGGAGCAAGCTCATGCTAGAATGAGGCTGCTCTTGGGAGAGTGGCTCTTGTAGGCAGTGGCTAAGGCATTTCTTCCTCTGGAGCTGCTCTGGTGAAGGTTCTAACACCTGGTCAAAGGTGGCAGCTGGATTTCTTCTGTCACCGCTCTCTAATGAGGGTGGACGTTCGCAGCTGCCGTTCCTGACAGAATGACTTCCTCCCCTGGCTCTGTGGCCTCCTGCGGATTGTGCATGTAATGCCATCTAATAAATTCCTTGTGCCTAAAGCGACTTGAGCGGATTCCGTTGTCTGCACCCAAGAAAGTCTAACCAGTTTGCATACTCGTGGCCTCCTAATTGTTGAATCATGGGTACACTGTTTGTTCCTCAACATCAGGGACCTCTGTCTGCTACATTTGACAGCGGTGATGACTGACTCACAGCTTCTGGAAACTCTAATCCCTCGGCTTCTATGATACCTTATTCTCTAGCCCTTTGACTTTTTCTTCGCTGTTTAGAACAGCCTCTTCGCCTGTCATCCTACGAATCGTTGCTCTTTCCAGGAGCCCTTCCTCTGCCCGCTGCTTTTCTCACTTCACCGTCCACTTGGGTCTTCTCATCTGTCGTGATTTTGCAAAGCTGCTGACTCTGGAGCCATTATCTCTTTCAGACTCCTATGCATTTCAGACTGACTTTCAACTTGTATATTCCATGTACACCTCAAATTGCACATGTCAAAAATTAAAAACTTCTCTTTTACCCAAAGAGGGGGAAAACTGCACCCGGATTCTCTTTTTTCTACCCATGGCAAGAATTTATACATCATCGACATCCCCTGTCCCTGTTGCCACCCATACCCAGGCAAGCCCCACGTCTGCTCAATGCCCCCTCCATCGTACTTGGCTTAGCCCGTCCTCTCTCCTTGCCCCTGACCTCGAAGCAGCATCTTTTCCCTGGCCGAGAGGTGTTCCTCCTGCTCTCCCTGACTCCAGCCTCTCCTGACAAGCTCCTTCTCCTCCCAGCCACCGGACTGATCTTTCTGAAGCACCATCTGATTGAGTCACTTCGTCGCTTGACACCTGCCAGGGTTCCCCATCCCCCATGGGATGAAGTCCAAGCCCTTCTCTGTGGAATTCCCCTGCTCTCTGCTTCTGTCTCGTCGCCCTCGCTAGCATATTTTCTCATTTCTCACCCTCCTGTTTAAACTCCTACAGCACCACACTGCTTGTGGTTCCTGCCATTCACCACACCCTGCTGTCACTCCCATCTGTGCCTTCCAAATACTCTTCCTTCTGCTGAGGATGCTGTTACTCCCCTCCCCTTTGCCCAGCTTCTGCTCATCACTTAAGTTTCCACTCAGCCTCAGTCTTCTCCGAGGCGCTCCGCCCGCCCCACCTCTGCAAGCTGGGTTAGTTTCTGCGCTCCGCTCCACTGTCCGCCAGCTCCTGTCTCTATCAGTGGTGTGCTCTCTACTTCGTATTAAAACTGCCTCTTGTCTTCATCTCACCCTGGAGCCTGTATGCTCT